GATTAATGTTGAAGGGTACTCGCTCTGTTTTCCGTTGTTAAAGTTGATTCATTTTGTCGCACGTGTATTGTTTGTTAAAGGGCCATTTTTTTATTCTGAGCTGTTCCATTGATTCTGCATTGATTGTTTGTTTTGTTTTTTGAATTTCACGCAAAGCTACACAAGGGCTATCTGCGCCAGCCGTTCTTAATTTAGCAGTGTAAGACTAGAGGGAAGGCAGCTAGTCATCACCACCCACTGCCAACTAATGGGCTACTTTTTTTATCAACGAATAGTGGGATTGACCATCACGGCTGAAAGGGCGAGCACGTTTGGTGTGACGGAGATTCGAACCTGCGACCCGCAGATTGCGAGTCGAGCGCCTATAACCACCTGGCCATGCCGGGCCAGATTCTGCGTTGAAGGTTTCATTGTCACTATCGTATTATAATATTGTAATTTAGTATCTTTTTTTCCAGGGTTATAATTTTGATTACATATTTGAAAGTTGAAATTGTTAACTAATGTTACCAATGTACTTTTCACTATACAAAATTTCATTGTTAAAGGGTTTTTTATTTTATTAGAAGGGTTTGCTTTGTAACTTTGTATTCCTAATGTGAAAAATCATACATTGTAATTACATTGATAAAAGGTTGAATTTCGTTGCTAAAGGGTAGTGTTGCATGACAGTACTAACAGGGGCAAGAGAAAGTTATCATTGTTTTTGATCAGTGTGCATCTTATTTGTTTTAAAGTAAGAATTAATTGTCGGTGTGAGGACAACCCTTAAGTGAAGCGGAAAGGAAAATCGTTGTATATAAACATAACATACCTTCTTGTTTAAACATAATGTGTGTTTTTCTTCTCAAATTAGTCAGTATGTGCAATAATCACGAAATTTGTAAAGCTACTTTCATTCTAGTTGCCTTTGTTTTTTGTCATTTTGTTTTTGACGTAACATATGGTGTTCCTCAAGAGATGAGACGATCAGTGTGAACACTTGAGGCATTCAGTGTGAGCGTCTCACAGCACTTCGGGTGTCATGCTTGACACACTACTCAGTGAGTCAAAATGGTGGCAGGTTACAAATACTAAAGATGGTGTTTAGCGTTTTGTCTCTTCTGTATGCCGGTGCCAATGATGTTGTAATTCCAACACTGCTTGCTGTTGAGTTTGTAGAGTGTAATACTATAAGCGTAAAGGTATCCGTATTTCTTAGCCAAACTGAAAGTAATAAAACTATGGCGTAAAATGGTATCTGGATTTAGGTAGTAAGCCTAACTAACAGTAGCACGAACAGTGCAATACTACAACTATTACTAATAATAATAATAAAACTATAAGTATTAGTTAGTTTGGATGAGGGTCTAAAAAAAAAAAACAGTTTGGAGAGAAATAGTTTACGATCCATTTAAGCGACCGTCCATAAGCAAACATACATGTTGTGTACGCGTATATTGAATAAAGATTGTTCATAGTATTTTGTTACAATTGCACCCAGTCTCTTTATGTTTTCCTCTCAAACTGAATTACTCAGAGATAAGTTGTAATAAATATTTTGTCCGAGTCTCCCGTTATTCCGCAGAATTATCTTGTGTCTCTATGGGAAATCAGTTACACTTGAAAGTGTCTTATACTGACATTGTCTATGTACGTTTTAATTTGTCCGAGTCTCCCGTTATTCCGCAGAATTATCTTGCGTCTCTATGGGAAATCAGTTACACTTGAAAGTGTCTTATACTGACATTGTCTATGTACGTTTTAATTTGTCCGAGTCTCCCGTTATTCCGCAGAATTATCTTGCGTCTCTATGGGAAATCAGTTACACTTGAAAGTGTCGTATACTGACATTGTCTATGTACGTTTTAATTTGCTCTGGGATTTAAGAATATGTATGTATGGAAAGGTTGGTACAGTTTATAGAACGGCATCCTGACATTTTATTGATTGTTTGGAACTTTAATGGTGCTACAAAATCACGCGAATTCTCTTAACCAATGAAAGAACAGACATTAAAGTTTGGAGAGGGCTTGAATTAGTAGTGGAAGAAACTTTTTTTTCCAAATGTACAGCGTTTCGATAAGCTTTTCTCACCATTGAGACGTTGTACATTTTTAAATAAAGTTTGTTTTTTCACTATCCATTCAAGCCATCTCCAAACTTCATTATCCAAAAAGTGGGTCCTCGTCATACAAAAAAGGACAGTTTTTTGTTGAATTTCGCGCAAAGCTACACGAGGGC